TTGGACGTGGAGATTGCACCCCATGCATGTGAATCGACGGCTGACCAAACCAATAACCCGACTGACCCGGCTGCTGCACACCGCTGGGCTGCTGGACGCCATAAGGTTGCTGGCCGCCGCACTGTTGCTGGTGTGCACCTCGGCCGCAGCCTCCTCTGCCGCGCCCCCGTCCGCGATAATACTACTCTGGCGACTGCTGCCCGACAGCGGTACCAGGTGCAAAAGCTTGGTGATCGGCTGCTATCTCCTTTTGGCGTTGATATAGAACTCGTTGTTCTTGTTCCAACAGACGGGGGTGGAGAACATCAAAGGGAAAATTGTCGAGAAATAAAGAGACTATGGTGACTAGGGATTCATACTCAAGACCCAATCATGATAGAGTGAAGTAACTCTTTATCCGACACAGGAGAATTAATAGCAGCTAGGGCATCAGCCAAATTCTTGATATCTTTCAAATAATGTTCCATTGATTGATTATCTTTCTTTTTATTATTGGACAATAAACGTTTTAGTTCCACACACCGAGTAAACTAGAAGACATAAGTCTAGTTTGGGGGTGTTTGGAACTGATTCTAAAAAAACTGATTCTAGGAGTAAATTAGAGTACCAGCATCACTTCTGAACTTTCACCCAAACACTCCAACTTCTGCTTCTGGTCCCTGAAGGAGCAGAAGCAATTTTAAAAATCAGATCCAAACACCCCCTTTGAATCCTATCCCAAATAACAAATGAGTGTTTTAATAAATCATGAACATCAAGCAAAACATCACAGGTAAGAGTAGCAAACAACCAACATCGAATTGTTTGATCTACTGTCAACAAATGATAATACTCCGTGGTGTGCACAGGTGGTACTGGTACCTGAATAGAACTATCAACCATTCCAAAGAGACCTTGAGAGACCAAGAGTGATTCAAATTAGGTGCGCCAGGTGAGATAGTACTCAACTGCCTTGAGTTTGATGGTTACAATATGTGAGATAGTAGTGATATGAGAGATGGACTCAGCAAGAGATGCCATTGGAGAACCAAAGGTGGGTGGATCAGTTGGCCGAATTACACCTGGCGACCCGAAAAAAGTGGAGCCATAGAACGAAGATGCTGGCAACGGCGGTGGAGTAGGGTTCGCCGACGTGGACATGCTGGGTGTCTGCCATGGAAACCAAAGCGAAAACGTAACGTATTGAATAACGAGTAGGGCTCAATCGTGGAGAAGATGGACATCGGCGAGAAGCTTGAGAACAGGGCGGATGACGTAATCCGTAGCATTGGTGAACCAGTGGCGTCGGAAATTGTTGTTCCAGCGGGGGTTGTGGAGGCAGTGGTCGGCTGTGTGGTTACTACCGCCAAGGAAGTTGTGGACTCTGGCGCCTTCATAGAGTAGGCTGCACCAGAGGAGCTCATGGCGTCGGAGGAGCTCATGAAGGCGGCAGCTGTAACGAGAGGAGAAAGAGAGAGCCGAAAAAATTATTAGGTCTGGACTCTTGATACCATGTGAAATAATGGGAAAGAGGTACCCCAATAGGAGCCGTGAGAGGTGTATTTATAATAAAATAAGGGTTTCCAAAATACACAAGGATTCCTCAATTAGATAGACTATTAAATTACAATAGCAAATATCTAGGGCCTGTTTACTAACAAAGATATTTTCTAGTTTTTCAGAAAATTGGAAAACCGGAAAAAGAAAAGCAGAAAACGTGTTTACTAAAGAAAATTGCCGGAGAACTGGAGAAATGAAAACATAAAATCATGTTTACCAAATCGTTTTCCAAAACGAAAAAATGAGATATGTCTCTATTTTCCTTAGTGAATTGGAGAAGTGACTTTTACTAGTTTTCCAAATTTGGAAAACGCGGATGCTGCAGTGTCGTTACAACAAATTTGCATACTTACACCTAGTGGTGGATCCAGTCACGTTTGGTTCTAGTCCTATCAACGACCCTACGGTCTCTATCTTGATCGGTCAATGACCCGACAGTCCGGTTCGATCATTGATCTGGCGGTCCCTTTTAAGTCCGGTCGATGACCGAGCAATCCTCGTCTGGTCCGGTCGATGACCCGACTGCCCTGGACTGGCCTGGTCCATGAGACGGCGGTCCTTATCTGGTCCGGTCCACGACCCAACTGTCCTTATCCAGTCCGGTCCACAACGCAACTGTCCGATTCGGTCTATGACCCGACGGTCCTTGTCCGATTCGATCAATGACCCGACGATCCCTGTTCGGTCCGATCGATGACCCAACAGTCCCTATCTGGTTCGATCCACGACGAGACAATACCTGTTCAGTCCGGTCGACGAGCGGGCAATCCCGATCTAACCCAGTATTTTCAATGACTCGACGGTCCCCGTCTGGTTCGGTCAACGATTTGGAGGTCCTCACCTGGTCTGGTTAACGACCCCACAATCAGGTCCAGTCATGGACCCGACGGTCCCTGTCCGATCCGATCGTCGGCCGAGCAATCTCGGTCTAGTCGGGTTGACGACCTAACGATCCCTATCCGTTCCACGACCCGGCGATCCCCCGTCCGGTCCGATCCACTACCTCACGGCCCTTGTCCAGTCCGATCCACGATCCGGCAGCCCCTGTACTAGGTTTATTTCGGAATGGGACCGTACTTACGGTCTTCTGGTCGGTCACGAACCAAGTGAAAACTTTTGATGAACATGTATTCAGATTTGAAAATGGAAAACTAAAAAATAAAACAGAAAATTGGAGATTGAAAAACTGGAAAATGAAAACAGAAAATTGGAGAACAAAGAACAGAAATAATAAACTTGAAAATATCTCTATTAGTAAACATGCCCCTAGTTTCCTTCATAAAAAATGAAAAATAATTGATATTCACCATTATAGATTTGGATCATGTAATTATGCAAAAACTTTTTTTTACTCCGGGGGGGGGGGGTCTGGGGGAGGGGGTCTGGGGGTAGGGGTGGGCACGGGACGGGACGGGAATTAGACTATCCTTGTACCGAACCCGATTTAGGATAACGGGACAGAACGGGACGGGACAAGACGTTGTCCCGCTATTGTCCCTTTTAAATTGGTACCAGAACAGAACGTGACGGTTCGGGACATCTCAAAAAACATGCAGCGAAAAAAATACAGCTCCAAAAACAAATTTCATGACAAAAAACTACAACACTAAAAATGCAACACATAAAAAAATATGTGATAAATGCAACACAAAAAACCGTAGATTAATAGGATAGTTGCATGAAACAAACTCTAACAACAACAATAACTTTAACACACACAATACTACTAAGAAATTTCAAAAATAAAGAAGACAACATTATGATTAGAAGTGAAACATGTGGAGTATACGTGAGTTTCTTTTTAGTATGTAGAAGATAGTTCATACTTGATAATTTAGACTCCTTTAGGTGTTTTACATACTCCTCCGTCCCATTGGACTTTGCCAACTTTCCTATTTTGGTTGTCCCAAAAAACTTTACCACTTTCCTATTAAAGCAATTAATTTATGGTTCTGCACATTTCTCCCTTCTCTGCACAAATCTCAACCACACACTTTTTACTATTCTTATTTCTCACCTACTTTGCACTTGACAAAGTCCACCGGGATGAAGGTAGTATTAGATAACTAATACCTAATTAATATTCATTAGTATTTGAATTGATGGTAGACATACTAACCCACAACTATATACAATTTTGAATTCGGGACAACGGGACGGAACATGACATATTTTATTTGTCCCGATCTCGTTTTGTTTTGGAACGGTTCGGGACGGGAACGAGACAAAAATAGTTTGTCCCGAATTGAACGAGACAATTTCGGAACGGACCAACGGGACCGGGTCTTTTGCCCACCCCTAGCTGGGGGGGGGGGGAGGGCCTGGAGTAATCAGGGCTGAAACTCACTTCATTGAGTTTCAAACCCTTATGTGCCTAGCGGGTTTTGAACTCGAGACCTCCCACAAGGCACGATAACCTCACAACCAGCTAGTCTGGAATGCTTGGTTCGTAATTATGCAAATATTTGGACAATTATAATAGACAAAATTGCAACTTCAGTAACTTTCGACTATATCCATTATTGATCTTGTAACTTTACTCTGTTGCAGGTTTGGTCTTGCAACTAGTATAGATTAAATTTTTGCAGTTTAAAGTTTTTTCATCAAAAAAATACACTGTTCAGACATAAGCTCATCGGAAAAGATGTCGTCGGTGTCGATTTGTCAGCCGGAAAGTAAAGTTACCGGTGGAAAAGTTCTTAAATTGCAAAAATTTATTAGTTATAGGACCAAATGTGCAACCAAGTAAATTTACAAAACTAATAACGAACACAATTGAAAGTTACAGGGTTAAAAGTGCAATTCTGCCTTCTTTCCGGGTAGGACTCGGTATTATAGATATGAATAATATCTGATGATTTTTTTCATGTTTTTTCCACAAATTTAATTTCTTTAATAGGATGAGCTCATTTATTTTTTGTTTCTCATTTACCTACCCTTTAAATGATCCCTGTACAACTCACTCACCCCCTTTCTCACTATTCCTTTCTTGAAACTGTGAATCTCTTAAAATAAAAACAACGGAGAACTATCAAATAAGCTCTCGATTTTCATAAAAAGTGTAAACAAATCATTTTTGAAGAGGTTTTGTCCGGCTGTCGCCATTTGGAGTGATTTCTGGTGATTTTTTTTAATGATTTTTTTTGAGCATCTTCTTCCTTAAGTCTAGTTTCCACATACTAAATTTCAGCTAAAAATGCAATCAAGAAAACAGTCAAATGATTTTCTGAAATATACTACGTTGTCTAACTGCGCAGTTATCTTCAAAAATTAATTTAACTGCCTTCCCGATTAAAGTTTTAGCTGAAGTTTGGTATGAGTAACTAGACTTAATGAAAAAAATGATCAAAAAATTTCATCAAAAAATTCCACAGGAAACCGCCCCAAATGGCGAAAGACGAGCAAGGCCTCTTGAAAAAAAGCTTATTTAAACTTTTTATGAAAGTTACTGTGTTTATTCCACAGTTTTCCTAAAAACCATTCGTCTTTTATTTGTTCCTTAGACCCGGTCTTCGGAAAACCCCATTTTCAAGAGAAATCGTCTGGAAGAAACACCTTCTTCAGCTTAGCTAACGGCATTCAAACCTCTGTTCTTGACTATTTTCTTCTATTCTTGAGTACAGCCTCCTTTACATTTCTGGAACCCTTCTACATTTCAATCTTCTGTAAATTAGGGAGTGATTTATTTCTATACTTCACTTTTGGACGCCATCTGAATTGCTGATATTCTGACGTGCCTTATCTAAGATTCGGTTTGAGAATGAGGAATTTCGTATTGGGGTTTGTTTTATTTCTTTATTTTGCGCTTCTACTGAGTGTTGGAGCTCTTAAGTTTCACCAGAGTCACCACACTGAGAGAATTGAAGGTAAAACTCCAATTCCGCCCTTTCAGTTTATTTTATCGCAGATAATATAAATGCCGTAAACTCTTTTCAGTGTTTGTGCTTCAGTTCTGTGATTATGGAAGAGTGAGTAGGAAGAATAATTTTAGAAAAATATATAATCATTCTGTCCCTTAATAAGTTTCATTTGTTCCCTTTTTAGCTGTCCCGAATATCCTTTCTTTTAAATATAAAGAATTTTTCTTGATATTTTTTTCCTGTAAAATCAAATTCAATTTCATAATCTTCACTTTCTTAATATACGTACATAAGCAAATGTGAAGTTGGTTTAGGGTGTGAGAGGTTGTATATTCGGTATAGTTTTTGATGTTGTTAGAAATCTAATCGTGTCATAATAATATTAATTACTAATATTGCAAAAAAAATGATAAAAAATGTGATAAAGAAATCAAGAAAAAAAGAGCTCCGCCTAAATACCTCAAATTGAGAGTGAGATTCAACGAGCTTGGGAAGTTTATAGGCCCTCCACTTTCACCCCCTTCTCCCCTACCTTCCTTCCAACCAACCAAGGGCTAAATGTGTAAACGGAAGAGAATTGTAAGATCTTTGAAGCTGAATGATTTGGTTGATTTTCTCTATATTCTGCTCTTGGTTGTCTTCTATGTTGCATCTTAAAAACACTAGTAAGGTCTAAAATACCAACTTGGTGTATTCAGGTTCAAAGGTTAGATAGGGCTTGAAATTTTCTAAAAAGAAAAGGGGAAAAAGGAAAATAGAACATCTGGTTCCCCAAATATAGAGAAAGGGTAAATTTAGCCCCTCAATGATAAGTCTCATCAAATTTAGTATTTTAATGGTTACTAGAGTGGTGCTTGTAGCCCATCACTAAAAGAAAACATTGAAACTGTTTAAATCTCTAAATAAATAGTAGGCTCACACCAATAAGATTTACATTTCAAAAGAAGTTATTGTGTCTTAATAGGGTGAAATGAAATATACAACAAAAGAAGTTATTGTGTCTTAATAGGGTGAAATGTAATACACAACAAAAGAAGTTTGTTCTTCCCATCTAGTTTCATCCACACTGTATTCCTAATACCCCCACTATACTTCAAAGTTTACACTATCTGTCAGCTGTGCTCCACATTTTTATAGATTCATACTAAAGTGCTCTTCCTCCACATTTTCGGCATTCTATTTGTCTTCCATTTTGTTTTGGAATGCCCATGAGCTAGTCAGTTGTCACTGCCAACTTTGTTTAGGCATTTACAGACTTCAGCGGGGACTTCATCTGGGCCGACCACTTTATGCACTTCGTTCTTTTTAGCGTATTTACAACTTCTGTCCTATAGACCCCCCTTATATAATATCTACTAATTTCTCCATACTCAATGAAAACGATGTTGAGACCACAAACTTTGCTTCCATTTTTCCATCCTGAATTGCAGTCCTCCAATATTTATCGTTAATGCATTTCATTACCCCAATATTACAAGTCAGTTTCTTCCCCTTTGCAAGCCATCTTATACTCCCTCATTCTATTTTAAATGAAACAGTTTAGCTTTTCACATTTGGGAGCACAAAATTTACCATTAATTTATCTAAATATGTATTAGTAAAAATTCGAAGTTTATATTTTAAAGTAGATTGGTATTAGACTATTAATAGATTGTTTAATTTATCTAATTAAACAGCTTACTATTATTTTTACCATTAATTTATCTTATACTCCATTCTTTTCAAATAATGCAATACTGGAAATTATAAGAAGTTGATAGAAATTAGACAAATTAATATTTTCTAAATATGATTTACCTTTATGCTTTTGTAAATAATATGTTCAAAGTAGGGTATGTAAATAGTGTGAAGTCTAAGTCATGATAAAAAAGAACGGATAATGTGTACGCCTTTCTCCCTCCTTCGACTCCAATTTTCATATAAATTGTTGTGTAATTTTGACCGTGCACCCCGTGTTGTTCTTTTTCTTTTGATTTTAGCAATAGTTTACTTCTCTCAGATTCTCCTTATCCCTATGCTTTTCCAACTGGTAGTAGTATATATGTTTCTCCTTAGTGCTTACTTTGACATCTTCACTCCACCAGGTCGTGTTCTCTCTAAAACAAATTTCCCCTTTGGTTCACTCTGAACCTCTTTTGCTATGCACATGCATTTTTCAGCTCTATCCAAGTAGTATTTGCACCATCTTCCATTGTCCAGTTGCCCCCTTCAGCTACTTTGTCAACAAATGACTTGAAATTGCCTTCTTTTAACCTCCATAATATAATGATATGGTCCATCTGAGCAACATTATTCTTAACCTGACCTCCTATACAAATATCAAACACCATAAGTCTTTGATGAGTAGTTGCGTTCTCTCCAGGCAGCTCTAATATACACACAACTTCTGTTATTATATGTTCTAGTCATTACAAAGTCAATCTGTTGCAATTTTACATTTTTACCACTTCTAAATGTTAGTAGTTGAATTTCTTGATTTTGTAACCAACTAACCATGTTTAGGAATTATCAGGTCATACGACAGAGCAGAGTCAAAAATAATCTCTCCTGGTTCATTTCTGCTTCTGTATCCAAACGTATTGTACATTCTCAAACCCTCATGGCTAGCTCTGGCATGTCCATTGAGATGTTCCCGAATCAATTTATATTAATGAATGATAGTAGTATTCATTTTGAATTGCTGTAAAATTAAATTTTAAACTCTTGTTCCCTTTATGGATTTCCTACTTAATGAGAATCTATTTTATCAACTTTCTCTTTATTTCAATTACATTTGATATTATTTATTCTCTCGAGTTTAAAAAATCATAAGGTGAACAAAAGATTGAAATATGTTTGCAATTAAAAAAAAATTATACTCCGTATTAAAAAGTAAAGCAGTTTAAAAATCAAGTTATCTACTCTGAGTATATGATTTTTATGACTATATTATTCTCTTTGGTTTTGTGAATTGGATTTTATAGGCTTAAACACTTCGTATTACTACCTCCATCCCATAAAAAGAGCCTTGTTGGCCAAGGTACAATATAAGGTACAACTGGTATAAATCATTAATCTTACGTATACTTATGAAATTTGTTTGTTGATTTGCCCAAATTTACATAATGTAGTTGGGTTGTGGCTATCTTTTATCAAATCACATGAAAAATCAAATACATTTGATTTAACTTGACTGCTTTTGGGACAAAAATGTTTGAAATAAGGCTCTTTATTTTTGGGAAAGAGGGATTATGAATTAAAGTTTTCTTCCAAGAGGGACTAAAAGGACCACTGCAAAAACAATTCATGGATTCGAAATGGTGACACTACTTATTATTTGAGATTTATAGGGACCACATTTGATAATTTTACATATTTGGGGGACACAAGTCAAAAGGTGCTATTTTCCCAAAAGTAAACTACAAGAGTACAAGTGGGGACAATCTTGAATGCTCAAATCAGGATTCAGATACTAGTAAAATGAGTAGGTGCTATATTAGTGTGCTGCAATATAGGTGTCTATCAGTGTATGTATAATTGTATACAAGGCAGTATTCTTTGTATTTATTAGGAAACAAACCCCAATTTACAGCTTAACAAAAAAGTCTATTTACAGAGATATTTACTACAATAATCAAATTATAGTTCATGATATAAGAATTGATTCTTACTTGTTTTCATCAAACCTTTTTTAACAAAGTTTGATAGGCTGATGAAATCATGGATGTGGGTAAGGAAGGAGCAGTGGGAAAAGAAATGGAAGTTTTAAAAAATTTAATCTTTTTTCTTTATTGGAATCAGTGTTCCAGTATTCCTTCTCTAGTAACACGTAGACATTGTAGGGAGCACAAAGTGATTTGGAGGAGTGGTGCTTTTTAATGAATGATGATGCCACAGAATGAGATTAGAAACACGGGAAAGGAAACCCAGTCCCATTTCAACTTCCCTTCATATTCTTGAAAAAAAATATAAATACAATTGCATTTTTTTGCTTTCTTGAAAAACATTCAGGCAGTGCCGGTGATGTGCTGGAAGATGATCCTACTGGGAGGCTAAAAGTTTTCGTGTACGAGCTTCCAAGCAAATATAACAAGAAAATTCTGCAGAAGGATCAACGATGTCTTAACCACATGTTTGCTGCAGAGATTTATATGCACCGTTTCCTCTTATCCAGCCCTGTGCGCACTCTCAACCCCGAGGAGGCTGATTGGTTTTACACACCCGTGTACACCACTTGTGACCTCACACCAAATGGTCTTCCTTTACCCTTTAAGTCACCCCGCATGATGAGGAGTGCTATACAGCTTATTGCTTCCAACTGGCCCTACTGGAATAGGACAGAAGGGGCTGATCACTTCTTCATAGTCCCCCATGATTTTGGGGCTTGTTTTCACTATCAAGTAAGACATAAAATTTAAATCTCCCCATCCATCCCTCTTCTCTGGAGAAGGAGACATAACCCCGGGCTTCTGGATCATTCATTTTATATTGGCCTTTGTTTTGGTTTGCAGGAGGAAAAAGCGATCGAAAGAGGTATTCTTCCGCTACTCCAGCGAGCAACCTTGGTTCAAACTTTTGGACAACGAAATCATGTTTGCTTGAAGGATGGGTCCATTACTATTCCTCCATATGCTCCCCCACAGAAAATGCAATCCCACTTTATCCCTCCAGAGACTCCACGATCCATCTTTGTTTACTTCCGGGGTTTGTTTTATGACGTTGGCAATGATCCTGAAGGTGGTTATTACGCAAGGTATATATTTCTTGCCCCCATTTTTTATCCAATTATTTATTTACCATTATGGTATTAAGACACATTATTAAATTTATACTCGTATATAACAGCATTTTTGTTCCTAACTTGAAGAAGTCACAAAAATATTAGAAAATATGACAAATATACGACAGATAAAAATAGTGGACAAATAAAACATGTCTAAAATAAAAATATGACTTCAAAGACAACCCTCAATTTGCTTTGCAGAGGGGCTCGAGCTGCGGTGTGGGAGAACTTCAAGGACAATCCTCTATTTGACATCTCTACAGAGCATCCAACTACATACTACGAAGACATGCAGCGAGCTATCTTTTGCTTGTGTCCGCTCGGATGGGCACCATGGAGTCCAAGATTGGTTGAGGCAGTGATATTCGGTTGCATCCCTGTTATCATAGCCGATGACATCGTGTTGCCTTTTGCTGATGCCATCCCATGGGAAGATATCGGGGTTTACGTAGCAGAGAAGGATGTGCCAAATCTGGACACAATCCTAACTTCTATTCGGCCAGAGGAAATCTTGAGGAAGCAGAGATTGCTTGCAAACCCTTCAATGAAACAGGCTATGTTGTTCCCACAGCCGGCACAGCCTGGGGATGCGTTTCATCAGATTCTGAATGGACTTGCTCGGAAGTTGCCTCACGATGGGAGTGTTTACTTAAAACCCGGTGAAAAGATCTTGAACTGGACTACTGGACCAGTGGGAGACCTCAAACCTTGGTAGTTGCAACTTGTGACTAGATGGAAATTTATATGTGCACAATTGCATCTTTCTCAGTAATTATGGCCCTTCCTGCACCAGAGATGTTAATTTCTTGAAGTGAAATTGTTGAAGTTGTAAGATTTGTTGCAAAGGCAATCGAACTGCAAAATAATATTGAGCCAGCTGGCTTCTGTTGAAAGATGCATTGCTGTGGGTGTTTTAAAAACCTCTACTTATAAACATTTGTAATTGATGATGGTAAAGAAAATGTGATGTTTCGATCCAGCAAACAATATTAGAGTGGTATATATTGGGCATTTTCCCTAAAATTTATCTAATCGCCATGGTACTCTCTACTTATTTCACCATGGAGATCACATTAATGGCATCAGGGGTGAATCCTGTCTCGGTTCTTGACCTTGACTAGACCAGGAACTATTTATTACCAAACTGGTACCTGAAATCAAAACCTGGTCTAGTTTTGATTCCCCCTAAATAGGACCAGTTAATACCAGTTCTTTTTATACTCTTTATATAATAAAAATAGTTCAAGGAATTGGTGGAGTGGCGCGAAACCAACTTGAAAATCAATCTGGAGTCAACCAGTGAAATGATCTGGTTCTCCTTTTCCCATGACCTAAAATGGGTGTGTCTCACCCATTTGGAGTCTGGACAAAAATATAATGGACCGTGCAAGCCTTGCTAAGGAAAACCCAATGCCCTAAAAATACAGCGTTTCACCCTCCACTAATCCATGCCACATGGAGTCTGGACATTGATTTTTATACAACAACAATATCCAAGTCTTAGTCCAATAGATTCTCATGAAGACAAACAAGAAAGAGCACTCTCTGGATGAGAACATTTGTTTAAGGTGAAGAATATAAGCAAGAGGAGAGAAGCGGTAAAGGGAAAACAAGGTCCATTCAAGTAATACAGCTAGAGTGACTGAGAGGCAAGAAAGGCTGCTCTAGTGAGTCTCCCATCAGCATTGGGGGCAGCAAGATAGGGTTGAAGTGTGGAGTTCTTCTTGAAGCAGTAGGCAGGAGCTTGCCAATTAGGGTCATCCAGCACTTTTCCCACTTCAAATGTCATCACATGCCCATACATTCCTGTAACAATGTAAAATACATAGAATTCAAGATTGAGTTCAATTGAAAATATAAAAATCAATCTCAGATATCACTAATTTATCATTTTCTCTTTGATTATCGAAGGAAGAACTCAAAAGTCTCTAACCTGTGTAAAAAGCCCAATAAACAGGTCTTCTGGTAGCAACATCCTCATAATACGTAATGAAGTCAACTTTTTCCCAGACATTGCACAGAAACCCATCCATGTGTTTCTGGCCGAGATAGTTAGCCCCATCAAGCCAATTAGGTCTGAGAATTCCCACCGGGAAATGAAGGGTCCGGCACTCCTGGTTCCGGTCGAGAGTGTAATAGAAGGAAGTCCCATTGTTCCATTCCAAGTCATAGAGCAGCTTCCCCAGCTGGTTCTTTATTATGTTAAAGTTCCTTCCGTTGGGCCAGTCATACCAGAGGTCCAGCATTTGCAGTGTCCCTTTCGAGTTGTTCATGAAGAGGACCGAGTGGAATTGCGGCGGCCATGGGGTTGGAACCGGGTCCTCGCCGGCGGTGGCCGGTTCCGGTGTTGAATCGACAGCAGGGAGTAAAGAATTGGTAAAGAGTGCGACGAGGAGAAAAGTGGCAAATCCGATTTTTCGGAAAAATTGCATTTTTAATATTCTTCGTGAGAGAGATGGGAAGATGGGAGCAAAGAAAAACAACTACGAGTACTTGGGGAGAAAAGAGTATGCAGTTTTTTATTTGGAAAAAGGAGATTTTATTGAAATAAATTAGGAGTACAATTCGAGAAAGGAAAAATAAAGAAAGAATGGGAAATATATCATCTATCAACTTTGACTAGATAAAAATATGACCATTTTTCTATTGGACAAAAAAATGACCTAACTAACCAGCCCAGCCTGTCATCTATCTCTGTGTCTTCTATCTTGGCGTCGAACGTATCTGCAGAGGAGCACATTGCGAACGTCTCTCTCTGGAGTCTGGAGAGCACAGCGATGGCCATCGATCTCCAACGCCGGAATCCTTCCGGTGGCGCAACTTCCTCCGTCGCCACCTCTATCTTCTCCTTCTCCTTTCTTATTGTACGCCTAATCTAGTCACCGGCTTCCATGGAGCTCGCCGCCATTGGAGGATCTGATGTTTCCACAGGAAGATCTCGTCGATCGGCGGCATCAATCTCCTCCCTGACGGCGCTGGACAGTTTTTTGATGAGTTTGATTTAGTGCTGATTGAAGGATAGTGATGGATCTGTAAAAAAGAGAGCTAGGTAGGGTCGGTAGTGGCCGGTGGCATCAAGTTTCGGCGGTGGCAGGGATGGGGGAGCTGGGGGTCGGGGATTGAGATGGGGGAGCTGAAGATGAGACAGGGGCCAAGGAGACGGGGTGGGGGAGTTGGGGAGGTCGGGGTGATGGTTGGGAGGGGGCTTGGGGGAGATGAAGGTGACACAGGGGCCAGGGAATGGGCTGGGGAGGTTAATGGAGGTGCAGGGGAGGGAGCTGGGGGCAGGGGAGGGGGCTAGGAAGGAGGGTGGGGGAGCAGGTGAGGGGGCTGGGGAGCAGGGGAGGGGGATGGAGGTGCAGGGGGGACTGGGGAGATCGATGGAGGTGCAGGGGAGGAGGCTGGGGGCTGGGGAGGTTGATGGAGGTGCAGGGGAGGGGGGGAGGGGTGCTGGGGTGCAAGGGAGGGGACAGGGGGTGCAGGGGAGGGGCTGGGGTGAAGGGGAGGGGGTGGGGTGGGGGAGGGAGGGTCTGTTGGGGCTTTTTGAGCAGTGATAAGGGTAGGGGTAACAGGTTGGGGCAGTGACTGGAGCTAGGGCGGCGACGGGGTGTGGCTGGTTGAAGGGTTACGGGGTGTGGCTGGTTGAAGGGTTACGGGGTGTGGCTCGGGCAGCAATTGTGCAGGGGCTGGGGACGGTGCTTGTGGGATGGGGAGGGGGTTGGTGAATTAGGGAGTGGCGGGAGTCACTGATCGGTGGTGGAGGCGGCAGTCACGAGCCGGTGTGGTGGCCACAGTGACACAGCAGTGGGCACAGTGACACGGGCGGTGGACACAGTGACACGGGCGGTGGCCACAGTGACACGGGCGGTGGCCACAGTGACACGGGCGGTGGCCACAGTGACACGGGTGGTGGCGATAGTGATATTCGATAGTGACATTAAATTTGATTAGTGACATCAAAATGTGGCATGAATATGACTACTTTAGTCACATTTTTATCCAAATGTAAAAGTGGTCACATTTTAGGAAATCGCATTTAATTTAGTAATATTGAAGGAATAACCCCAAAAATAAAAGCACACGAAAGGAAAAATAAAAGTGCTAAATTAAACGAAGAGCAGTAAAAAAAGATCAAATAGCTAATCCAATGGGAAATCTCTTGATTGGGATCTGGTTCTCCAGTTCGTATATACTACACCCAGGTGTACGGGTGGGAACCGTACATCCGGGTATTTTTTTAATTTTTTAAAGCTTCATCCCAATTTAAATGAAATTTAATGAGTATAATGGAGGTCCACAATAATTAACGAGAAAAGCCCATAAACAACAGGTCCAGAGTGGAAAACAAGCAAAGGGGCCAATTATTTTAACGGTGACATTATTGTAATTTAAGCGAAAAAACATGTCTCCTGCTAAATGAGCAATAATGTACTTTTAATGAGCATTTGACCTATTTTATTGAGTATTAGAAGGCTAATTATGAGTATCACGATCTCTGCTTCACATTTTCTAATTCTTTTTCTTTTTTTTGTTATTTTTCTTTTATAAAAACTTATTAAATTATATCTATAATCTACTCCTATTAATTTTAATATGCGAGTCTAATGTAATATGATACTTTTGGAACATGCATTGATATGACATTTTAAAAATGAGCATAACATTAGTACAAAATGAGCATACATAACTTACAAAGTGCACATTATATGAAAATCGTAAGGTTTGTTAGTTGAACATCATGACATTTTATGACCATCAGCCTCCACTATTGAGATGAAAATCACGACTTCTAGAGAATGAGTAATAATGAACTTTTAATGAGCATCAGACCTATTATATAGAGTATTAGGAGTCTAATATAAAATACTCCGTAATAATTTTAAAATGCATTGATATGACATTTATAAAATGAGCATATGATCAGTCTCAGATGAGCATACATATCAAACATCGTCTATTGAGATTGATGAAAATCATGAATTCTATTAAACGAGCATTAATGAATGTTTAATGAGCACCAAACCTTAGGGATGTCAAAAAAAACCAACCCACAATGACCCGCCCTGGCCTCAGACATTTGGGGCGGGTCTGCCCCGCACCGTCTTGCAAATGGGGTGGGGCCGCCCCGCCCCGCCCCGTCCCGACCCGCTGAATATATAAGTATACATACTTTTTCTTAAATTATACTACAAATATGCTTCAACATACATATGTGTGTATACAATAAATCATAAATTCTTTGATCTTATAATATATGAATACGGAGTATATACTAGAATGAGATGCACGACGGATTATCAATGTCTTCTTTATATATAGAATTTTAATACATATATTCAATTATTAATAATAGAACTAATAAGATCAACTATTCAAGTTTGAGTAATTTTTCCTTAATTTTTGAAATTTTTAGCGTATCATGAATTTGATTTAATATATTGATTTTTAATTATTATTTAGAGATAAACATTATGTAGATTTAATTGGTAAATACTTCCCAAAAAAATACATACTAGCTAATTAGGTTGCGGCGGGGCGGAGCGGACCCGCCCCGCCCCGTCCTGCCCCGCATGGGGCGGGTCATGGGTCAACAAATTTGGACCCGTGCAGGTCACGGGGCGTTGCGGACCCGCCCCGCCAAGTCACGGGGCGGGTCCGGGTCTTGCAATACCCGCCTGCCTTGACCCATTGCCATGCCTACCAGACCTATACAAATGAGCATATGCAATTTATAAGATGAGCAATGATATGAAAGTTGTAAATTTTATTCGTTAAGCATCAAGACATTTTCAATGAGCAATGCGATTGAGTATCAAGATTTGTGGTCTCATGTCTATAATCAATTCTTATATAAATCTACTAATAATGTAATATGAGACTTTTGAAATGCGCATTGCTAAAACATTTTAAAAATGAGCATAATAGAGATATTAAATGAATACACATAATTTACAAAATGAGTATTCAAAAATTCAAAAGCTCATTTATGTATGTTCATTTCTTTTACGCGTTTTACTCATTTGAGTTTAAGGTAAAACTCATTTGTAATGTGCTCGGTATAATGTATATATATAAGAAAAGAAGTAAACAACAAATAAAGAAAGGAAAAGAAGTACAAAAAAGACAAAACAAAAGAAAGTGAAATAAAAAAAACATAACAAAAAGACAAAAGTAAAAGATAACAATAAGAATGGATGGCTGTAGAAGAAAAGATGATGGAAGGGAAGGAGAGAAACAAAAGATGATGTCGGCGGAAGAAACATGATGGCAGGGAAGGAAAAAATATACGAAGTCGGCGGAAAGAAAAAAGGAAGAGAATGGCGAGCGAGAATGGCTGCGGAAGAGGATGCTGACTAGGATTGAAGTTGGTTTATTTACAAAAATACCGGGTGTATCTATACACCCGGGTGTAGGATATAATTTGCCCTGGTTCTCATACTATGACGCCTTTTATTTTGATGTTTAGCTGCGTGTTCAGGTTGTCGGTCGACAAACAATTTTCTGATGTTACGGCGATCGCTTTCGATTGCATGTCCTAAGAAGTCATCTATAAAGAGCGAGTCATCTGAGTGATCAAAATCATCAGATGCATCAGAGTAAGTCTAGATCAATGGCAGCAAGGGTGGTTTTCAAGAAGAGAAGACGTGGTCGTTTTGAGTATCTGCCGCCTGGATCTGATACTTAAAAATCAGTTTAGATAAGGATGTGGGGTCCTCGCTTTGTAATACACTTCCGCGTTGGAGAGTTATTGAGTCATCCTGCAATGACATCGAGAGCCCTACAAAGTTAGAAAAAATATTAAGGAATTTAAATAGGTTCAAGATGTGGGATCCATGAGTATCTGAATGAAGCTCCCCTTGTATTTCACCATTTTTTCAAAGTAGCCCGCTCTATTAATTCCTCAAAAATTGTTAGATCTCCAAATCTAATTCTTTTCTCAAAATTTTCTTGAGCGCTATTTGTGAGCTAAGAGTGTATCGGATGATTTGTGGGACAATATCAAGTTTGAACTGAATTTTATGTAGTATGCGCCAAAACTTTTTTCTTATCAAGTCACTCAAATATTTTTCCATCTCACTTGGTAGATACCATTTTGACCTATGATTTTTTATTTGACTTTCAAAGTATACTACGTAGCACTCAAAATGCCAATTTTGATTGCAGTTGAAGGATTATTAACTATGTACTCACTTATTATTTATACGATTTTACACATGTTTGTAATTTTTTGTCAATTTTACATAGGAGATATTTTTTGTTCATTAACATGTTTTGTCCGTGAATAGTGTATTCACAAAAAAAGTCTTCACAAGCATTTCTAAAGAATATAAGGATATTTTTACTTGGACTGTAATTCCTCCCAGACCAGACCAGATCAGACCATACCAGACCAGACTAGACTTGGATAGTTATAAAAATACAAAGAAACCAGACCAGACCAGACCAGACCAGACCAGATCAGACCAGACCAGACCAGCAAATTACGGTCC